TCTAGCAGCTAGGCCCTCCTTCCAATCAGACAGCCTCTTACTGGCCATGTGACTCTCCTGATTGGCAGTGCAGTCACCTGCAGACTGCTCTGCTACATGCTCTGGCCCTTAAAGTGGCAGACACCACAGGTGCCCTGCCACACTGCCCACCCCTCCCCCCACCCTAACTTACTGGTGAACTGGCACAGGAAGCAGATTGTGGGATCAGGGTTGGGGAGGGGTCAAGAAGGAGGGGTTAAAATAGCCAGTGCCAGGAAGGGTAAAAAAAGCACAGCCTTGGGGCTGGGATCAACATATGGGCTTTCCCAACCCTGGGGCTGTGCTGGGAACTGTACAGAATCCAGGATAATTAGATTGGTTTAAAATGGCCAACCAGATCTAAGTTAGACTACCTTGGATATAGAGTTAACTTAGATCGGGTCCACCATTTTTATACTGATCTAACTGTCCTGAACTTCTGTATAGCTCTCACTTAGATCAACCTAACTATAGATCTAAGTGTAAGGATCACACCTGGGGGAACTAAGTTAGATTGGGTGGCCATTTTAACATAATTAACCTCTCCCTAACCTCCCCAAACATCTGCATGCACCTGTTACCTTTGCTAGGCTTGAAGGCCTCATCCCCACTCAGGCTTGTCTCCATCAAAGCTTCAGTGAATGAAACTGTACTGGCTCGGTGAAATCTCAGCCCCACTGAAATCAGAGGCAAAACTCCCAACAACAAGGTTAAGACTTCAACAAGGTTAAGATTTCACTAAACAGAGTATAACACAACAGAGTATAAACTCAGCCATTGTCAGTTCCTTCCTTTCTTTTTTTATTAAAAGATTATTTCTACCTTCAGAGTTGTGTGTCTAATGTTTTCAACAGCCTGGTCTAGTAGTCGTATGAAGGATAAACCATGAAGTCTCAGTGAAGTGGACATCAAAAAGAAATACCTGGTTTTGTTCAAATTGCATTTTTTCAGATCTGATTTTGACCTCTGTGTTTGGGCCTATTAAAAACATTTTTACAAAATGGAATCTGGAAAATATTTGAACAAGGGGGCTGACATTTTAAAAATGAATTGGCTTTTTATGGCTAACCCACGTAAGAATTATATGATTCTGTGACATTCTACATTTGAAAATAATAATAAAGTAGGAAGCCAAAAAAAACTATTTTAAGTCAGTAGTTTGTTGTGGCCAATATAATGGCTGGCATGGATCTCTAAAAAAAAGCTACTGCTTTGTAGATTGAAAAAGTAACCAGGGATTATACACAATACCCTGTATTGTAGTGTGAGAATATGTTTGCTTACTGGAGGTTACTTTTTCAAGCTAAAAGCTTAAATCTTCTGTCCACAGAAGTTGTATTTTAACCTTTATAAATGCCTCTCTGCCCTAAATGTACTGCAGCTTTTTTATTCTGTTTCAGTTCACATGGCTGTGAGACCTTTTCAGCTAATAGTAGCGCTCCAGCTGTATTAGGTATATCCATCTTAAATAAATGTAAGTGAAAATGTCCCTCACATTTGTTGACCACTTTAGTTTTCACTGAGAGGAGAACATTTCTGAGAAGCTCTTGATGCCCTTGAGAGCAATTTTTCCTATTTTTCTTAATTCTTTTCTGTGCTTTAGCTTCTCATGACAAGGCTGAGGGAAACCCACAGAAGTAAGAGGAAAGTGAAAAGAATAGATGACAAAGACATAAAGAGAAGGGAGAGTCATAAGAACAAGGGTAAAATAATACATAAGAGAAGTATTAATGGTGGGAAACAGAATCAAGGAGGAGGAATGAATGAAATGGGAAAGGTAAAGAGGCCAAGAATAGAGGTGGGGTGGGGAATGGGGCAGAATAGTTGTGACTGACACAGAGAAGAGCAATTTAACAGCTACTGGAGTTGAAATAATCTTTGAAATAAAAACCCTTCACTAACATATCATAGTCCTTTTGTCCCATCCCATTTGAAAAGATTATTAGAGAACTCCCTGCCAGACATAAGTGAATAGAAAGCCCTGATTATATATATTACATGATTGCTGATCTTAGCTGGTGACATTTATCTTTATGAATTCACTGAGTTCTTTAGGTGAGAAAAATAAGAAAGTATGCCAGTGTCATTCTGTTGGCTGTACTCAGTAATGAAAATAAATGTCAGGGTCATGCTAAAGTTGAATTATCATGTGTTATATTTGTGCACAATATTCATTTTTTTCTCTTTATTGCTATACATTTTCTACTTAAATGGAATAAAAATGGTATAAAATACAACTATTTTAAATGTTTACTTCTTTAAGTATTTCATGGACACACACATATGCCAATAAAATAATTTGCAGAAGATGACTCCCATGCCCAGAGAGGTGTTTTCATGCATACCTAGTACCAAATACTGTTTTGTCATGTGGAAAAAGGGCATTATGGTGTATTATTAAGACAGCATGAGATATAATTATATCAAATTCTGTAATCTGTTCTATTTTATATGTTGAAGTAATTACTTTGAGGTTATATTACTTTCAGCTGGCTGTTGTCCCCATTCAGACAGTTACCCAGCTTGGAAAAGGCATTTGGACACCTCCTTCAAAAATTATTACTAGCAACCACCAAGCCTGAAGTCTGGGGCCATCAATTTTGAGCTCCTGGCCTACTCCAGGGAACAATGGTCTTCCCACATATTGACCGCAAGCAGGGGCAAATATTGCAGGGGTAGATTTAGAACTTCATTTGAGTGCGGGGCACAGAGATGAATCCCTTTTTAAGACTGGGACTTGGCTGTGCGCCAGAGGGCTGACAACTGTCATATGTAAAAGGGACTTTCAGAAAAGAGATGGTAGAGAGACAGCTCAGATTTGTGGGGATGTCTTAAGACATTTGTTATTTTACAGCTCAGTAACCCTTACAGGCTTTTGAGATTAATGTCAATGAGGATAAGAAATTCCTTTGCTAAGCCTGTAGACTTTGCTTTCCTGACACATTGTTTTCATAGGCAATATATTTGAAGCCCAGGAAGCCTTTAGCCTTTGGGGAAGTCCAATGGAGCATCTGTAAGTCTCAGACACTAATTTCTGGATCTAAAGTATCTTGTTGTGGCATTCCACATTTCAAAGACAGTCAGACAAGTGGTCTCATGTCTGGGAGTATGTCATAGCATCTCCAAGCTAGAAAGAGTGACTAAATTTTTCCCAGACCTAACTGGCTTGAAAGCTTATGGAATTGAGTAACCTGGAGCATTTGCAACAGACAGGTGACAAAATTACAGAGTTATTTTCTAACACTTAGGGATAGTACTAGTCTACATTCATCCATATGTTACAGTCATATCATATTATACAAATATGAGAGTAAGCAAGAGATCAATGGATGTATGCGTAATCAGCACAATCCTGGACAGATCATTCGCTGTTGGTGTCATCTTCCTGAGGGTGGAGTTCTCTTTCTGACTTCAGTTAGTTGAATATTTCACTGCTTTTAATGGTAAATCAAAGATTTTCACATGTGAGACCAAAATCCATGCATTATGTGTAAGTGTTAAAACATTATACATGCTGAGGGCAAATTAGCAAATTATGCTACAATGGTAAGAATAATGCCTGTAAGTTCATTTTCATAAAACTAATTTTATCACTGCATTTTTAAACACTGTTCTTTTTGGCTGTCTGCTTTGTTTCCACCTGAATCTCTCTCACTAACAAATCACCTCTAAATGCAATGCATGCAGTGCTAAAGAACAGGCCTGGAGACTGCATGAATGAGGTTTAACTCAGTTGAAGAACTGGGTTCATACTGAGACATGGTGAAAGCTATAGTTGGTACCTGGAGATTTGAAATAGAAAAGAATGTGAACAGAAAATGGGTGAAGATCAAGGGGTGGGGAAAATCAGGATCAAAAGGAATAGAAAAAAAATTGAAGGAAGGGGAAATGAAAGAGAAACAAACAAGGATGAAAGGGAAAGAAGAAAAAGGAAAGGAAGGGCAAGGGGGAGGAGGTGGAGGATGAAAAGCAACCTGACAACAGCAGCTGAAGATAAAAGGTAAGGAATAAGGCCTAAAGTGAGACAGAATTTAATTATGCATACTTTTCTTTAAATGGCCAAACGCCTGAAATCCTGTGGGCCAAATATCCAATTGAGTTTAGTTTCTGGGACAAACATTGTGTATCATATCTAAAATATTTTAGAAATGTAGCACACTTAAAGTACTTAAGAATCTCAGCAAGCGTACAAGATTCTGGGGAGCTAAGGTGATTGGTTATAGGGCATCAACACTCCTTTCTATATCTAAGCTTATGGCATCATAAATTCTATCATTTGCCAGTTTTCAAGTGGTCTGTGTACCAGTTTTCAAGTGGTGGCTGTGTACACTATCCAAGGAACAGTGGGTTAACGTACTCATTTAGCCACTTTGTTGGAGTAGGGCCTAAGTGTGAGAATCTGTGCCCCTAAAGGGTGTATCAAAGAAACAGCAGCTTAGTGAGGATAGGAACTCAGTCAATTTGCAGAAGCTACAAAGTTGGGTCTAAAACTTAAATCAGTTTATAACTGCCCCCTAAGTATGCTCTACTAAAAACCTGAAAGGAGGAAACACCAAACAAGCTTAAAAGATGAATAAATGCAGGAGCATTGTCAAAGAGTTCTACCATTGCTGGTTTGATTTGCCTGATTAAAACTTTTGATCAGAACGAGACCGAAAGAGGCCTGCTTGATATGCACCTTCCATCTGTTTTTAATTTTTGTCAAACAAAATCTATTCTTAGTTTCCTTTCCTCCTGATCTGTGCCCTCAAAGACCAGAACGCCATTGTCAGATACAGGCTCCAGATAACCGATAGCACTGCACTACTCTTCAATGACAGGGATAATAAAATGTTATATTTTTGAGACTGTTTTCCAATCCAATCAACTTCAACAATTCTTGGATCAGATTTTGATATCTTTATCATTATTATATTAAGATGTTTATATTTACTTTGATTTCTAAGTCCGCTGAGAATAAAGCACTTAATGGTGTCATACAGACCAGTGGGCAACATACTCTTGCTAGCTGTATTTTTCACTTTTATTATGTCAGTGTAAATGTCTACATAGTAGTCTCCATCTCTTTCTTATAATGCAATTAAAATGATGACTGTTTTTTAATTAACTAATTTTCTTTTTTCTTCTTTTTTTTGTCGTTTGCTTGATCCTGTGCATCTTGGGCAAATTTTATAAGACTCTTCCCACCTATGTTAATACAATTCAGCTTGACTGATGTTAATGAACATTAACTGAACCACACAGCTTGGTTCTCAGTAATACTGCAAAAAATAGTCAAGTCTCCCTAGTGTAGACAGATCCCTTTTCTTTCCCCACTGAGATATTTTTGGCCTGCTACGAAAAGGAAAGGAAACCATTGCAAAAAATCTGCACTTGCTTCTTTCTTTGAACAATGTGAGATCTGTAATAGTAGATTTTTCTGTATTGCTGACTCATAAGGGAACAGATATTAAAGCTCACTCAAAGTTTTGCACTTATAATATCCTGACTTTGCATGTATCTCTTTTAATGTATGTCCTGGCAAACCAATATGTTCCCAGGAAAAGACTCTAACCACCACAGAGACAGACTGATTTGCTTCACTTATTGGAAAATGCATTAGTAAATAAAAATATTTAATCTTAAAACAAAAACATGATGATCATACAGCATATCTGACACTAGCTAGATGTCTGTTTCTATTTAAGCACTTATGAAGTACTTTTATGTTGCAGATATTCCACCAATCAAATTTCCGCACTGGCCAAATATATTTCATCTTTAAAATAAACATACACACAATGCCTTGGTTTGCAAAACAAATAGTTCTTAAAACCAAGTGAAATCTTTGGATGCAAAAACAGCTCGCTAATGACTTGAAGAGGAATAGGACCCATATATCCAAGGATAAAGTTCAGCCAAAAGAATTTAATTCCTCTTCAGAGTTAGGGTTTCTGGATTGAACTAGACTTAACCTGAGACAAAAAAGTGTTCATTAGACCAGAAATTGAAATCCAGGTCCCTTGCCTCTGAGGATGGTGCATTCACCACTGGGCCAGACCTATGTGCACTCTTGCAGTCTCTCTCAGGCTCAGTGAATATGTAAGTGAAATAACTTCAGTTATTTGACACTGAGAATCCACCCCACAATATTCTATAACCTGGGGGGTGAACAATTGTTTGCTGCATGTGGTTTAAGTTCAGGCTACTTACTTTAAACTGCCTAAACCTAGACTGGGAACAGTGCATGCAGCTGCTCACTGTTGCCAGGAATGGCACAGGAGCCAGCCCAAGGTAACTCAGGGTAGATAGGGCAGGGGAAGGTGGGAGGCTGGTAGGACTGGGTGCTCTGTCAGAGGGGTGGTTGGGGGCTAAAAAAGCCCAATCAGGGTTGGGGCTATAGAAGTATCACAGCGCTGGGGCTGAGGTGAATGGCTGGGCTTTCCCAACCTCAGGTCTGTGAACACATGCAGGTGTTTGCAAGATTGGGTTAACCCCTTTCTATATCAGGTTAACCCTTTCTTGATCTAAGTTAGTGAACCTCATGAGATGAACTTAGATCAGGTGTGCCATATTTTGGCCGAATTAAACCTTCTGAATGCTTGCATAAATGGAGATTCAGATTGCCCTAACCCTGGTTAGGGCAATCTAAATGTAATGCCTGTACATACCCCTGGTAGCTAGAGAATTCACTTAGGAAGTAGGACATTCAGGTTAACTCAGTTGGAGAAGGGTATTGAATTCTTGTCTTTCGAATTCTGAATGAGTGCTTTAACAACTGACTTGTTGGATACCAAGGGCAACACTTCTTCCTCCTCCATTTTGTGAGAAAAGCACTTTGGCCAAGCCTGATTCCAGAAGATGGTTCAAGGTTGTGAATTCTGACTGAAGACAACTATCTGTCTGTAGCCAAAGGCAAGATGCCAAAGCCTCAGAACAAATGAGGCTCAGAGCACTTCTTATCAACATTTTCAATTTGCTGATTTTACAATAGCTTCCTGCTCAGCAAGCTAGCTGTTGTGGATCCCATTCTTATGCCACTCTTCCCATTCAATTGCCCATTCTTTTATAGGGCTTCCAGTTGTCCACCTCAGACCTATGGATTCCACTAGCCAGGAAAAGTGCATAACAATAACTCAGTGATGCAATGCCAAAGTCTTTGATAAAACTAGTCTTTAGTTAAAAAAATTGAGGCCTGCTGTTATGGATATTGAACCATTCCCAGGTACTACTATGCTAACGTTTATTAGCCAGGAGAGCTCTGGATGGAAAACTGTTCTCCTATACTCAAATCCTTTCTGATATTAAAACATTTTGTCACCAGTTGGAAAAAAAAGCCCTTAATTTTTTTGTGTGAAATACATACAGAATATTGATATGAGCATTTAATTTTTATAATGTTGAAACGTTTTGATGTCAGCCTTTTCAAAGTTTTGTCTTTCTCTAATTTTCCAACATTTCAAAAGATAATTTTGATTTGAACAGTTAAGTTTTTATTTGGAAAATGTCAAAAAAACCCTTTTCCTTCATTGTTTACATTTTTCTGAGTCCAGATATTTTTCAAAACTGGTCCTGTTCCCTGAACTATTTTGGTTTTAAAATATTGGGCCTTTTTGACATTTTTTTCCTTTTGAAATATTCTCAACTCGTTCTACTGGTACAATAACATCTGTGGCTAATTTTATTTTTTAAGGCCACAAAAAGTTTACTTCATCCCCCCAAACAATATTTTTTTCTATGTTTTTAAGTAGAAAATGATTTTTGATTCTTGATTAAAGTATTCAAGTGTTTCAAGTTAAATGTTTCTCCCTAAAATTTGAATTGCAAGAAAAAGTACAGATCCTTATGGAAATAGAGAGCCTAAAGGAATGGAGTTAATTGTGACAGAGGATCTAGGCTAGGGTTTGTCAGTAAATTATATTTTATCATGAGAGAAATCAGCAAAAAAATGGCAATGACTCCAGAAAGGAAAGAGCCCTTTGATAATGGTGAAGTGTAAATTGATTGTGATAATAACTAAGTCCTCTCTCAAGAGACAAGTCCAGAATTATTTGCATCCAGTAAGATGTGTTGCCATCACACTGTGGTTAACACAAAGAAGAAACTGAAAGATCAAGCATAGACAATACGAGTTAGTGAAGGAGCTGATTGGGCTTAGAAACAGAAGCACACCTCAGAAGCTGCCTCAGTCTTATCCTTTACATCTGTGATTCTCAACTACAGTGTCGTGGCACACTGGGATGCTTTCAAATCCTTAGAAGAGCACCCTGAAATGTAAAGAGATAAGCAGATAAGATAAGCAAGTTCAAGCTTCCCCAGCCTGGCCAGTTCCTGCCCCCTACACACATTGCCTGGCCCCTCTTCAAGGAAATACAATCTGTAATATATAAATTAGTTTTTGAACTGGGTGCTGTTCAAATCACAAACGTTATTGGTGGGTGCTTTAAGTCCAAAGGCAGTCTGGTAAGGCACCAGAACATCCTAGTGTGGCAGACTGTGTCCTGGAATACCACACTTCCTGGACACTTAGATCTAAAATTACCTTGAATATAAGATGGCCCCACAATAATTAGATTCTATATGTGAAAAATTTAAAAATTTGTTATAATTTTCCAGATACAGAATCTAAGTATTGGAGGGTTGTCTTGAATTTGCACCTCTCCCCCTCCCCTCCACTGAAAGCAGTGGCGGGGGAGGGAGGGATGTCAGGGGGCTGGAGAGGGTTCGGGCAGCCCCTTTGCCCTCTCTCGCCCCACTTCTTCCCCCTATAGTCTTCTTGTCACTGTACTTGCATCCCCTATACCCAGCTCCCCACAACCTCTGCCCCTCCACCCAAGTTTCCTCCAGTCTCTCCCTCTTCTCCTCAAATTTCCTCCAGTTTCTTCCTTTTCCCTGCCCCAACTTCCCAACTCTTCCTCTCCCCCACTCTAACATTTAGATGTTGTTTGGGTTGGTCCCTCCTGGAGCACAGCACATGGCTAAGCCCTTGCTTAGCTATGCAGCAGTGTTTGCACTGCTGATTGGCCAGGCAGGGGAAGGAGTTTCCATGTGTTCCATGCCCAGGAGAGAACCAAGCCCAAGCTGGAGCCAAATTGTGCCTGACTGTAACCGGGGATAAAACAGAAGCCCCGTGACTAGGTCAACCCAGGATACAGGTAGCTGAGAGACCCAGGACCACAGTGGTGGAAGGTTTAGCACACCAGGGGAGGCTAAAGGCAATCAGAGCTGCCGCAGCACTTAAAAGACAGAACTGGAGGTGCAGTACTTTGCCCTCAGGACACTGGAGAGGAGAGGAGCGGCCACGGTGAGCAGTGGAGTGGTGAAAGTAGCTACAAGACAGAGGAGCAGAGGACCCATGGCGAACCAGTGAGAGAAGAGATACCTATCCAGAGGGGTGCAGATGGCTCAGGTGGGTGGCAGAACCCACAGGAGACTGGGGAACAACGCCCAAGGGAAGTTCCAGGGGGGGCAAATAACCCCGACAACTGAAGAAGCAGTGAATGCAGTGCAATCAGGGAGCAATTGGAAGGAAGATGTCACTTAACTGAGTGGCAGGCTGCCACTTCCCTGCTAATGAGGCAATTAGGGCAGTAATGAGACACTGCTGTATCCACCCAATAAAGATTAGCACCTTGATAATCAAATTCTGGGTGGTCTGTTAAGCCTCCTCTCACTCAGGAATTAACATGTAACCCATTTTCTCCCATTCAAAGTCGTGGCAGGAAAGACCTGAGGGAGAGTAGAGGGAGAAGCAGACGTACTCCCACACTAACAGTAAAGGGGGTGAAAGGTGCGGGCAAGCAGAGGGCAGGGCATGAGGCTGCTGTGGGTCTGACTCTTGCCCTAATCTGGGCTCAGGGCCAGAGTCAGGGCCTCAGCAGCTGCCTGTTCCCCTCTCCCCAATTTGTATGTGAATCTAAGGTGATGCTGACTGGGGGAAACCTCATCTTATATTTGCATCAATAAGGTACTTCATGATACACAAGGTTAGGTCCCAAGCCCTTGTAAGGGCCATGGTAAGACTGTTACATCTTTACTATAAGCAGTTTGCAAAGTTATTATAGTTTGTGAGTTGTTGTAAATAAAGTGTTGTTTCCACATCACAAGCCTCATCAGGATATTATGAGTATCTCACTTACTGGTTCTGGTACTAGCTATAGTGTCCAGCCAATAGCTAGACTTGTGAGTGGGTTAACACAGGACTCTGCCCCTTCAGCTTTCTGAGCCAGACACAAAGAACATTCATCTTGGCAGCTGCACGGATTACACAGTGTCTCCAGGGATGCTTCTTTTCCAACAAAGAAAAAAGCTTCCCTGCTTAATACACTCCCCCCACTCCCATTTGGCAGGGGAGGGGGGAAGGTGCATATTAGATGCGAGAGATTATGGTAATAAGAAATGTATTATTCCTTCCCAAATTAGGACTGACTCTTCTCTTATCCAATTCACTTTTATGGAAACTGATAGCTGAGGAAGAATGAGAAATAATTAATAGAGCCAAAATTATTGCCATCAATAAAAAAACTGAACGTATGCCCCATGCCCCACTCCACTCCAAGGGAAACTTCCTGTCTCACTGACCATGCGTTGATGGCTATATAATAAATAAGGAGGCTGCCCATAGGGCTTTCTGTGTTCGCAGGTTGACTGAACCCTGCCGGCCTCTGCCTGCACCCAGGTCCCTCGCTGGACTTCACTGGTCCTTAGGCCCCTTGCTGGGCCTCACTCCATAACTATACCACCAAAGGGCACCTCAAGCCTCAAGGGTTAATTGCATGGCTCCAGATCCTTCACTATACCATGCCCCATGCCTTGTGGGTATTACAATAATGTTGTTTCCTCTGTTGGGGCTTTGGCCTCTGTTCCCTTTACTATAGCTAGGCCTTCTAGCCAAGGCCCACCATATCAGACCTGGCTTTGAGGCTCTAGCTCTCATTTGTCCCTTCTGGTCACTGTGCCCCCAGGCCCCTGTCCGCTGGGCCCCAGTCCCTGTGTGGATGCGCCCTTCTGGTGCTGGGCCCTTGGCCCTTTTTTCCTTTATAGCCTTGCACTGCACTACTCTCTAGGCTCAACAATAGCTCAGACCCTGAGCCTGCCCCTGGCAAGGCTCAAGTCAATCATGTGCCCCTCGGAAACTAATGGGACCTCCATAACTGCCCTTATAGTTCCAACCCAAACCGCTGGTTTAAACACAACATAAATACAAGCTACAACATAAATAACAACAGCAGAAGCAGCCCTCTACCCATTTGTAATGCTCCTAGTTATGTGGTCAAGAGCTTTGGTAGGTACCCAGGCTGGTAGGACTCCCCTGGACTTGCCTGCCATGACTTGATAGAAAGAATTCAAAGGAGGGTCGAGTGATGAAAATAGAGAGGTCCCACTCAGGGTACTTACGGTTTCCAGGAGTAGTTGACATTGGGGCTACACCTCCCCTATACCCTGGCCACACGTCAACCATCATTGTTGAGACATCTTGTTCAGATGCAGTGTTCCAGATCTGGTCCCAGTTTTAGATGACTGCCGGAGATTCTACCCAGCCCTTTTAGCATAGATCCTTACATCCCTGAATATGGGGATACTCCTTCCCATAGGCCTGGCACAAGGACCACATCAGTCTGTGTCTTCTCGAGCCCCTGGATGATCTTCACAATGGACAATCAAGAGGCAACAATGGACACCACAAAAATAAACAAAAAAAGCCCCCTCCACTCTGGTGGAGTTGTTACTCTGAACCCAATAGTTCTCTGGGGCTTCAGAGATGTCTCCCCAGCTCATCATGAGTGCTGCTTAGGAAGTGTGCCTGGACTTCATGTACCAGCCCTGTAGATGGAGTCTACTCCCCTCTGAAACAGTTGAGCCTACGCAGCTGTGCCAATTCACTGTCTTGATGCTCCAAGGCTGCATCCACCCCAGACCCTACTGGCCTGGAGGCAGTCCCTCCTCTCCCTCTGTCTGCACTCTAGGTGCCTTTTAAATTCCCTGTGATGGCGTCGGTGGCTGACGTCATCAGCCTGGCACCACCTAGCTTGATTTCCAGAGATCTTTTAAATTGTGGTGGTGGCGCCGCACTTTGCTGCAGTTCCGCTGTTTCAAGCCCTGAAAATAAGTTTCCCTGCTTGTCATGGGCTTCTTGCTTGGCCCATGTGGGATCCATGGGGGTATCAGTGGGGCATTTAAGAGGGCAAACCTTCTTTCATGCCTTGTGCCAGTGTACCTCCCATTATGGGCTACTTGTAAGCTCCCCAAGCCTCAGTGTTTCTGCAGGCAGCAGAGCCATTCTTCTAGCATCCCTGGGTTGCTGGGGGGCTCCTGGGTAGGAGCTCCTAACCCTGCAGCTGACAGGGCTAGACAACCCAAGCCCCAGATTTATATATACCCAAGCCCCTGCGAACTTCTGACCAGCTGACACCCTGCCCGTGTCTGCTAATTGCCCAGTAGCTTGTTGCCCCAGCAACCTGCAGCTGCTGTGCTCTGCCTAGCCTGCAGAGCTCTCTGGATGGGCTGCCTTCATCTTGAAGTAACAGTTCTCTGTTACAGTATGCAAGCAACTTTTAAAGTCTGTGTAAATGGACAATTAACAAAGCTATAAACGCAGTGTAAGAGCATACTTTAGAATTATCCTCTTTTCTCTAGAAAGGTCTTGATTATAGTTTTATTGATATGGTTTAATGTTAGTGCATCCTGCATGTTCTTACTGGAAAGATATAGTTAGGAATTGAAAATGGTTTCCTCACTTGGAAATATTAGCTGCTGCATTCATGAAAAATTATCTTTATTCCAAATTTTCAGCAATAAATGTTTATTTGTAGTATAAATGAAAAAGCATGTCTTGATAGTCTTATTTAATAGGATGCCATTTATAGATAACGAAATGCTTCTGGTGAGTTATGAATGCTTTCTAGCTTCTTAATAAATGGACAATTCTAGCCATTGGTTATGCATGCAATTATACTGCCTCATGTATCACCACTGACTCAGCTTCAGAGTGTGTCAAACTTCAATTACAGGTAGAAACAACAATTAGTTAAATGGTCAATGAGATATTCCAGTTCTTTTCATAAAGACAGGTCTCTTCATACAGTAACTGCTTATACAGTAATAATCTGTTTGAA